ACCAGATACATCGCTGACAGAGACCTGAGTCGCCTTGTGACGACAGCAAAAGCCTGGTTGGTGACAGTATATGAGCCCTGCGTGATGGTATCAGTACCGACTGTGCCAGAGGCAGATCCAGAGCCATAGGTAATCTGAAACGTGTTAGAACGCGACTGAAATGAGCTCGAGCTTGAGGGCGAGAAGGGGGTTCCGGTAGCACTTGTAGAGCTGGCGCTAGGAGAGCTGATGCTAGACATGCCACTCCCCGAACGGGCTGAAGATGAGGAGGCACCCTGTCCAATTAGCCACAGATCCGAAGAGCCGGTATCAAGAATAACATTGAATGGCCGGGGCGGTGTGCCGACTTGGATGACACCATAGTACTCTGAATCAGCATATCCATTGCTGAGGGCTATGGGTTGTTTGAAACATTAAAAAAAAAAAAAAGCAGTGATTAGTTAGGGGCCTCTGATGAGTCACAGCTGGAGATTGGAAAATAAGTCTTGAAGGATGATGGGTTCTAGGGCGAAGTAAACTACAACGGCGGCGGCAATGAATATATATTCCACGCCCAGCAAGAGGCAAGCCAATTTCCGCAGTAGCGAGAATAGAACATTAAACAGAGTCTGGATAGCCGTATTCGGCTATACGAAGTAGATATCGATGTCCAACGGCTCGAGCCTCAGACGGTTGTGGACTGACGAGCAACATAAGCACAAGGGGAATCAAGCTCAAATTTTGAGTTTGGAGCGCTGTACTGCCACTCCGCGGCGGGGATGTACAGTTCAATCAAGGGTTGAGATCACGGCTTGTTGTACAGCGGTGTACATGTGAAAAGATAGTTTGGGTTGACGGTGGCTGGAGAACTCAGGTGAAAAGAGAGAAAAAGGAAGGACACATACCAGCCGCGGAAGGGTCTCGAGCCCTGAGGAGAGGTTTATCATCGGGAGCGCCGGAGCCGCGAGAAAGGTGAGGATACTTGTTGATGAGCAGGTCAGCCTGTCTGAGCGCGTAGTCCTTGACGAGGTGCGGGCTGCGTTTGCGGAGGAGTTGCTGGGAGTGTCTCCGTACAAGCGGGATGGCTCGCGGCGCCGGTCCGTCTGAGCCGAGGGCGCGTGGACTGAGCTCGAATGTGTTTGGGGTGGAGGTTGAGTAGGAAAGTGTTTGATGGTGAGACAAGGTAAGGATGAAGAGAGAGAGTAGAATGCTACATGAATTGAGAGGTGCCATCTCTACTGTTCGTACAGTATTCTGTATCTTTTTTGGTTATTAAAAAGAAAGATCAATATATAATCGAATGCTAATGTGCTATTATTAGGCTGGGATGCTAATTAATTCGCCAAGTGTTTGAGATTAGGGAGACCCCGAGAAGGATGAAATTAATTAATTTGTGGGGGTGAGGATAGATGAATCGAGGGAAATTGGCATGATATGGTGCAAGTCGACAGATTAGGATTCTTTTTTTTTCTTTTTGTTCCTTTTTTTTTCTTGGGGGGTAGGATGTGAGTATGTGATCTAAAGCAGATGTTGATCTCTTGGCGGGTTGATTAGGATTTTTATAGTTTGTGATGAAGTTGATGAAGAGGGGGGGGAGGAAGGGAAAGAGAAAGCCAGTCAGTTTAAATAGATATCGTTTGCGGTTGAAGAGAGCACGGGAGTGGGAGGAGATGGCTGGGCAGACGG